AAAACGATGCATTTTGTAACAGGTGCTCTCTCAAGATGCGCAGCCTCGTCTCCATGTGCAGGATTCCCAGCGAAAGGCTCAGTTCCAGTTTTTGAAGAACTGCTTGAAGATGATGGTCTCCTTTCCCTGTGGCAGGATTTCCACCTGTAGTGCAACGCACATAAAACTTTACTGCTTACTGCTTATATAAAAGACCTTACAGTTGACATCATAAACTCGCACGTCAGATCTGTGGCTGTAAAAATAGAAACAAAGAGGTTGTACGAGCTTTCCTGTCTACAGTAAAGAAAGACGCTTGACTGGTTTGCGGTGTTTAACATGAGCAGCTTTTAGCAGCCGTACCTGTGTTTTCATGTGAGGGTAATTCATTTGTTCGATGAATTTGTCCGCCATCTGCAGGGCCATGTCCTTCTCCTCATCGTTGGCTCCGTTACCTGATGATTAAACGAGCTAATGTGAATTAGCAGCTCTGTTTGAGAGCTTTTTCGCACACAGAGTAACTTTCAGGGTAACTTTCGATATCAGGCGTGGTGTCCCCGCTACAAGCTACCACGATGAACAAATTGTTGAACAAAAGGTCCCTGAGCACATTTACAAAAAATACTGACCCAGATACGAAGCAGCAAACAGCTCGTAGTGCTTTTACACCACAGCAGCCCTTTTCTAAAGTAAAATCGTACAGAAACACGGGTGTTTAATGACTTTAATAAGGTTTTGATTGCATTTATTATTTTATGAGCTATAATAGTTAATGTGAAAGAGGTCAGTTAATACAGTCTGATTTTCACATGCATCAGCCAACTTGGTGACCTTAATAGCTACTTTATCGCTCTGACAGTTTTTTAAAATCAACCTTGAAGCTGCTCTCACTATAGTTGTGGCAGAAATTTGGGGCTTCAGTTTTTTAATGAGTTTTTTTGCCATTTGCTGCGTGTTCAGAGATGCTCTTCTGCTCACTTTGAACTTTAGCAAGTAGCTTTGATCATCTTTACACCCCTAAATGCACTGAGTTGCTGTCATGCGATTCACCGATTAGGTGCACCTGATGAGATGTTGGGCGAGTGCATGTTTCTATGATGTTTATTTGCGTTTGGTGTGTTGTCTGATCAGTTCAGAGATGACAGTGTGAAGCTGTGGAAACCCCGCTGTAGCTCTTTAAGAAACCCTTACTCCGATCACATGTAAGCAGGTCCTCAGACTCACCTCCTGGTGAAACTGCCAATCATTATTTCTGACTGCGTTCATTACAATTTCATTTCATCAGATATCAAATTTGAGGAGGTGGCGAGTTTGCCGCTTCGAGTTTGAGTAGCAGCTCCTCACCTTTCCAGACGAAGATCTTTCCGTTGGAGCCGTTGTCCAGGATGAAGCAGTCGTCACGAATCAGCAGCTCCTGGAGAAACGGGCTCTTATCGGACACTTTAGTTGTTGTCATGGAACCGGTGGCATCAGACACCTGATGAGTGAGCATACAGTGAACAGTGATGGAAAAGGTGGTTTTAAAACGTCAACGTTGTGTATATAGTTCTGCATATAGAGCTTACCTTGTAGAGGGAGGCTATGTTGGAGGCGTCTGCTTTGCTGTCCTCTTCTGGCGTGCTCTCTGGCAAAGTCGGAGTCTGTCCTAGGACCTGCACAGCAGCACAAAAACATCTTATGAGGACTTTTAAAAAAAACAACAACCCAAAAACCAAACCAAAACAAATAGATTTTTATGTAATTATTGACTTGGAAATGGAAAAAAAACAAAAAAACATCCTTCCTGAATAAAACAATCGGATGACAAATCAGGAAAACTTATTTACTCTGATCATTTCCTCCGGCTCTTCCCCCTCGTTTGCATCCACAATGCGGGCTTTACCGTGTCGGTCTATGTCGCGGATCAGCGTGGCGATCTCGCGCACCTTTTGCTTCTCGAAGATGTTGGCTTGCGAGCCGGTCCAGGACACAATCGTCTGGGTACAATTATCAACATTAGATCAGCACAACGTGGTAAAAGTGGCACTTTATTTTATTTGCAGGTTGCAGTAAAAAAGCGAAACAAACTGGTTATTGTGTAGCGCGTTAGTGTATAGCTGTGACACATTTTAGAAGAGCAAATGATTCGGTGGCGTTTGGCTGCACCCCTCCCCGGCATGTCCTCCTTTTAATAGATTATCTCACCGTTCCGAGATCGAGGATGAAGCAGTCTCCCTTGTTGAAGCTCTTCCAGGACAGCTCCACCTCTTTGGCACGGATGTTGCGCTTTCCTTTGATCTGGTACAACCTCTGCACGGTGCCAGAGCCCTGAGCTCTCCTGAAACCTGACTCCACACCACCCTCCTGTGAGGAGAAGCAGAATCATCACTTGGACTGAACTTTCATGGTAGTTTATTTTTTTAACGTTTTACGACAGTTGACTTTTTGGACGAGCGATTTGATTCATTTTAACAAGCTCAGATTGCTACCTGTAAAGAAGTCACAAGAAGCTCTAAAATGATCAAATCTGTTATTTATGTAACCAAGGATGTACCTGAGGTGGCCAAATCTACACAGACCTGACCACCTCAATCTCCTAAAAATAAAATAATAAAATTAAAAAGTCATACGGTACAGAATATTGTATTTTAAAGCTTGCTGTTGCTTGTTCTAAGGCAGTGCACAGTTCAGTGCAGCACAGGTATGCTGTGGTAATAAAGTTACTGGCATTTTCAGTTTTAGGCATCCGAACACGTCGCTGTTTCCAGCACCACCTGCTCACCTTGTAGCTGACCCCTCGGGGGAAGAGCTCCATGAACTCCGGAGACTCGAAGCCCTGAACGTGCCTGTGCTGAATGGGGTCTCCACCCAGAAAATTATCCAGCTGGGTGGCCAGCATGGCACAAGCTACCTGCTCATCTCGAGACGATTTTTCACCTGGAACAAGGGGGTGGAGCACAGGTCACTGAAAAGCATGTTCTTCCTGTACAAAAACTCAGTTTATTTATAAAGGATTGGGGATGTGAGAACTTTATGGCAGATTTCCCAAAGCATTCAGTAAGATATTAATACGTTCGACCAGCTGAGGTGAAGTTTGTGATGATAAAGCCGCCTCAGTGCATCCAGTAGGAGCTGCTTCGACTACTTGAGTCACTTTCTGATTATAATTTGAACTCCTACAAATTCAAAACGTATTTACTTCTGTATTTTGTGATGTCAGAGTTGAAGCTGACCTCTCATTATACTAAAGCTAGGAGACGGTGCAGAAATTAGCCTACAGAGAGTGGTGCCACACATTTTCCTGGACATTCAGGTTATCTGTGGACCTCTAGTGCATCATCTAGCCCTACGGCCACAAAGCACTGTTAGCTCTGCAAATAACATATGAGTACTGCTACATGTGCTACCAGACTTACAGACAGTTTGTACCACCAGGCCAATCAGGCTTCTTAACATATCTAAATATTACACACTGCATATTTGCTTTCTTGCTTCTCTGCACATTGTCTTATTTCTTGTACTGCTTACATAAGACTGATTGCTCCTAAACCTTTACTCCTACTCTAGACTAAAGCTAATTTTAACTTCACCAGTAAAACTAAGTATTAATACTTAAACAGGGGTCAGGAACAACTGTGGGCTGGCCAAACAGCTTCAATTAAAGGAAATAAATCTATAATCTAAAACGGTTCTTCCAAAAATAGCTGGAGCAGAGTGAATTTATTTTGTTGTCTCTGGTTTCCTGTGACAAATAAGCACGAGGAGTTTTCAAGAAAGCCACAGTCTGCCTCTTCTTCTGCAGAATTACACTTTAACATACAGGACATAATAAAAAAGAAGAAGAAAAAAAAACCACGAGTTTCTTACCAGGTCTTCAAATAATGTCAATACAACTTCAGATGAGCAACAACACATTACTCATTAGACTGTGTCATTATTTATTTAACAAAAACTGAGCCAAAGTGTAGAAGCAGTGTGTGAAAAACTTAATCCACCCAAAGATTGGGTAGTTTGTCGACCCACCTTTAGCAACAGTAACTTGAAGTAATGGTTTCTGTATGACTATCAGTGCCTCACATTGTTTCCATTCTTATTTGCAGCATTGCTTCATTTCATTGAGGGCGCTCAAAAGCATTAAAATAAGGTTGAGGTTTGCCTTGCAACACCTTAATTCTTTTCTTTTCCAACCATTTTGCTGTAGGTTTGCTGCTGTGCTTGGCATCATTGTCCCGTTGCATGACCCAGTTTCAGTCGTGCTTTAGCTGTCAGACAGACGGCCTTAAGTTTGACTCTAGAATACTTTAGTACACAGAGGAGTTCATGTGTGACACAATGACTGCACGTTGCCCAGTTCCTGTGGCTGCAAAACAAACCCAAATCATCACCCCTCAACCACTGAGCTTCACAGTTGGTATGAGGTGTTTGTGATGATCTTGCTTGTAATTTCTCTGAACTTGTTTCCAGTTGAATCTAAATAATCTTTCTCACTGTAGACTGGAATGCCTTTATAACTCTTCCTTGATGGGCAACAACAGTTGCTTCTCCAAGACCACTTCTGACATCTTTTCTCTTTGGCATCATGTTAACACAGACCTGAGTGCCAGGTCGGATCAGTTAATCAAGTGCATTTGATTATCAGCACCTGGCTGCTACTTACCCTCTTTGTTTATGTGGAAGCACTAAAGGTTTGCTTAGCGTTTCACACACTGCTTCGCATCGATATCCTCTTTTCAAATAGCAGCTTTATTATTTACCTGTATCCAACATATTTAGTGGAAATCTGTAAATTGTACCTATTATAAAAAAACCCAAAAAGGTTATACTCTCTAATCAGGCGCTGGTACGACTGATTAAAAAAAGCTGAACTAAACAAACAGTGGACATACAAAGACACCGCCGGTCCATCAAGAAGAGGAGGAGGGAGGATTAACAGAGGTGCATGTTAGAGCGAAGAGAGGGCTCTCCAAGTTGTGACAATCAGCTTAGTGTTACCAAAGCACCGGATACATGCTGGAAACAACAGCCACATTTGAGTACTATAACAGTGCTCCTGTATTTTTAATGCTTCCCTCTGGACTCATTCCCTCATCATCCCTCTTCATCCAGCTTCTCTCGACACACAATGATGCATCAGGGCAGCAGAGTGTCTCGTGTGTCATCACCATCAGCGGGGTGGCTACTAGCCTTTCAGCCAGGGTTATGTGTGTAGCGAGCGCCAGACAATGCTTAGCTCTTTTACTGGGTGGAGTAAAATGAAATCAGATACTCTTCCATTGTTTTTCTCCAAGTAAAGTCAAGACTAGTTTGTGTTTGATTTGCATCGGGTAGCATGTTGCATAAGCCAGATGCGTCTTCAGTCTCTTACCTATCCACATGTGGAGGTCAGCTCCCTCCTCCCCGCGGTTATCCAGCACCAAATAGGAGTCTCCATTGAAGAAAGCTCCCACCTCAGAGGAATCTAGTGGCACCGCCTTCATCTTTTCTACTCTCCATACCCACAGGCCCTGCTGCCGGACCTCTGGGCTGAACTGACCTGGCACTGGCTTCAAGGGGAGCATACTACATGGAGAAAAGAACAAAGTAAAAAGGTGTTAGAAAAAAAACAAATAAAGAGTAGGGAGCACATGGGAAGCTTATCCATGGAGGACATCTGAGTCACACATCATGTCCCTTAAAGAAGGAAGAAGAAACAGGAAGTGGCAAAACAGTGTTGTGTAACTTGTTCTACATGGGAGCGCGTGCACGGATTTGGCTGGAGTAAGTAGAAGTAAAAGAGGAAGTTGAAGCCACAGTGTGTCTAAACGGAGCGGATTTACGTGACCTTTCTTGTCTACTCCTGAAAGCTGCCTAAATTCTCACTAAACTGACACTCCTCTCCACACTCAAGGAGAAGGTACACTTCTGAATGTAGCTGGAGGTTGTTTGATTCGCTCTTACCGCAATCGTTCTAAGGCAACAGAACAGAGGCTGGAGACACTGTGATGAGTGTAATTATACCTCAAGTAGACACAAAGTGTGGGTTGTGTTGCTGCCTAAGGACCACAAGCTACATTACATGACTTTTATGCAACACGACACCAACGCAGCCGTAGCGCCACTGCACAAAAACAGTTGGTGTCGCAGGTAGGAATGAGGCCAGGGTGGACTCGAGTAATCGTGCCCCTCTTGTTTTTCATTAGCAACGAAAAATTTGTGTTTTCTTTTGTAGTACACAAACAAGTGCGTCATCCAACCATACGCCCACGTCTTCCTGTCTTTGGTTGGTTTTTCTGGTTTGTCTCTTTGCACGAGAGCAGACAGTTAGCTTTGTAGGGGGATCAGATCACCAACGTCACCACCTTTCATGTCATTATCTCTCACTGTGCCTGACTGTATTTTTACATTGCATCTAGATTGTGGAAACTTGCAATCATATTTTTTATTGCTTGTACTTATTAGGGCTTCAGCAACACACGACCCAGAATTGGACAAGTGGAAAATTGAGATAAAGATGGTGTTTGTCCCCTTCATGATATGTGTACTGTTCATTTCTGACCATCAGTCGGTTTTTATATGCTTGTTCAGTGTTATCCAGGTCACAGTGGTGAGGGTGCTGGAGCCTATTTGAAATGCCATAGAGTGGCGAGCGGGGAACACCCTGGACAGGTCCCTAGTTTATTGCCAACATACTACTACATACTTGCCCTATTAACCAAACTATTATGTATATATTGGTTAATAGGACAAGTATTTAAGTTTTATTTTGTTACAAAGAAATAAAAAGGCAATAGATCACACTGGAAAGGCTTGAAGTGTCTTTTTTTGGGAGCTTTCAAGCACATCCGAGTTGTCCTTGGCCGGGGCGGCGACTCATTGGATCATGCGAGTGAAGGGTTGCTGTTTTGTAAGGTAAGGGTGATTAAGTCAGCAATCTTTATCTACTGAAAAAGACCAAGATATATTTTGAAAGCTCTGGGATGGTGGCCATTTCTTTAGGTTAGTGAACTTTCCACGCAACAAGAATTATGTTGTTTAAACAGAAAAACAGAAACTGTAACTTAAGTGATGGCCAGCTTCCTTGCTCTACAGTTTTCAGCAAGATCTTCTGGATGAAGACAGACCATGCTGAAGTTGACTTTGTTGGAGTGATGACCACAGTTAATTTGTGAAATACACAAAGTTTCGTCATTGGCTGTGCAACACAAACTAGTGAGAGTTAGAATCTATTGAGAAGTTAGGGTGGCTTGGAAACAGTGATAATCTGGACAAATTAATCTCATTCACCACCAAATGAAAGGACTTTGGGTCAGAGTATTGTGAAAGTAGTAGTAGTAGTAACCATTGATATAAAAAGCATACAATTATGAGCATGCAGCAGCACTGTTGCATTGATTGTATTACTGCAGTTAGCTTGTGATATGAAGGCCACACCCATATAACGAGGAAGTTAACCAATAGGACCACTCGACTCCAATTTTACAATTTTGTACAAACTCTGTGAACCTTGAGATTCTTGTGTCACTGACTTTGCTGAATGGCTGAAATGCTGAAACTGTAAATAGTATGCATGAAGGTAATACTGTGAAAACATATATAAAAGGCGCTGTAAAATGACAGTGACTTTGAGTATAATTTGGATAAACTTATGTGATCACTGTAAGTTTCACTAAAATGAGACCAACAGCGCAGGAAAAGCAGAGATTCTTGTGAATTGGGAATGAATGGATGACAATGCCATGGCACGAGCTCATGAGCTAAAACTAGAAAACGCGAGATCGTGTCAGGAATATTTGATAACGGTGATAAACAGAATCAGCCTGACAACTGACGAGTGCAAAGCTGATCAGGCTTAACATCATGACCACTGACAGGTGAACGGACAACATTGATTACCTCTTCAGCATAGCACCTGTTAGTGGGCGTGATGTATCAAGCAAGTGAACATTTTATCCACAAAGATGTGTTAGAAGCAGGAAAAACGGGCAAGTGTAAAGATTTCAACAAGTTTGATTAAGGCCAAACTGTGATGCTTGACGACTGGGTCAGAGCATCTCCAAACTGCAGATCTTGTAGCATGTTCTCATTCTGCAGTCAGTATCTATTAAAAGTGATCCAAGAAAGGAACAATGGTGAACCAGTAACAGGGTGATTTCAAACAGATGAGCTGCTGTAGTTTAAAAATATAATTCCGGTTTGAATAGAAAGATGTGAGAGTGCACAGAGGATAACTGTTTGTTGTGTAGGGCGCTGCATAGCTGCATAGCTGCATAGCTGCAGACTAGTTAGGATACCCATGCTGACCCCTGTCCACCACCGAAAGCGACAACAAAGAGCATGTGAGCATCAGAATGGGACCAGAGAGCAATGAAAGAAAGCGCCCTGGACATATAGGGGATTTTCCCATACGTCACTGAAGTATGTGAAAATGACTAGACCTTCTGCCCCTCCCTTTCCTCCTTTCTAAATAGCAGGATAATGCCACAAAGCGGAAATGGTTCAGGAATGGTTTGAGGAGCACAACGAGCTTGAGGTGTCGACTTGTCCTCCAAATTCCTCAGATCTCAATCCAGTCGAGCATCTGCGGGACGTGCTGGACAAACAAACCTGATCAATGACGGCCCCACCTTGCATCTTACAGAATTTAAAGCATCTGTTGCTAACATCTTGATGCCAGAAACCACAGCACACTTCAGAGGTCGAGTGGAGTCCATGATCAAAGCTGTTTTGGCACCAAAAGGAGACCAACACAATATTAGGTAGGTGTTCATAAGGTTATGCCTGACTGGTGTATACTAAGCAGACTGAATTCCTAACTGACCACAGGTGTGGTACCAAAGGGTGGGAAACAGAACAGAGACCTCAAAATAAACAGGAAGTGGCTAAACAGTAGCTGATGATGAGACAACTGGTTTAAATGGCCAAAAATGAACTTTCAAGATGTCAAAGATAAATACTGATAAATATTAACTTTAGTGTCGATGACGAGCGAGAAGAAAGACTTCCCAGCTTTTATATAATCTTTATCATATTGATGCATGCTGATGTATATCTGCAGTTTCTCATATTCATCATCAACCTTATCATAAAAATGTTTCACAACGTCAAGAAGCTCTGGGGTTGTTTTTTTTTCTTGCGATAAAACTAATTTAAAAAAGGTGGCAAACTTATGGGTGTCATAACACATTCAGGGTGAGCCCCAACGGGCATTTAGATAAACATCTGTTTATAAAATGAAGCACGGGTGGAGCACTTACACTTTAACGCTTTCTTTTAGCTCTATCATCATATAAGTGAGAAGTTTTTGTTTTAACTGTGCTGCTACAGAGGCAACGGGAAGATAAAGGGAGGCTGGAAACAAGCAATTAGCTTAATTATAGGGATTAGAGTCAAGTGATGATCCAACATGTAAGAAGCTGCTCCCAGCGCTACTGCGTTATGTGTCTTAAAAAAACTCATTCGGCAGCAGAAAACAGCGCATCTATCAGTGCTGACTATCGGCACTGTGGTCAGACTAACAGGATGTCAACATGCTTTTAAAACTCAGCATTGTTTTTGTAAACTGTCAATCGAGCAAACAGCGCAGTGAAGTGAGCATTTGAACATATATACTGAGTAGTGTAGAGGGGGTGCAGGGAAACAGAGAAAGGCGGCACATGCAGAGGCCACTGGGTTAAGGTTACAGTGCTTGGACAGCCGCTCGAAGAGTAAGTAAGGAGGCACAAATAAAAGCACCGGTCCACTTAACTGTATGATCTCCTCTGGTACCTCCGGCATGCTGTCTGACTCCAGGTCCATTCTGCGTGTCCACTGGAGTGTGTGTTGTGTGTTTGAGGTTGTAAGATATCGAGGGGTCTGACGAGGAGGAGTGCTTGAGCTCACCTGGCCTTGTTAGCTTATATGTGGGAGGTAACTGAAGCCGGAGTGATGAAAGCCTACCTGAGGCCCGAAGATAGGACGCTGTGTGTGTGTGGAGGTGGGGAGAGTCGGGTTCCTGGTTTCCTGGCTAAAGCTAAACACCAAGCTGATAATTACAGTGAGAGTGAGCTGCTGGCTTCTTCGTCTTTCCACTGTTTCCCCCTCCTCTATCGCATCTCTTTCCCTTGTCCCCATTTGTCCTCTTTAAAACAGGAGCGAAGGCCTGGTCTAAGCAAAGCATTTCTGTATCCAGCCTCTGAGGATCAGAGGGTAAGTAGCAGCCAGTTGCTGATAAGTGTGAGCAGTTTGGAGATCTGAAGCATTCAGGTGTCTTAACACAATGCCATAATCTGCTCAGGAGCGTACGTCACAGCAATTCTACCCCAAGATAAGGCCCAAAAGCTACATGTCAGACTCTACAGGTCTCAGTTAGGATGGTAAATGTTAGAGTTCATGCCGGTAGAAAAACACTGAACAAGTATGGCTTGTGTGGACAGGCTGCCAGGGGAACGTGGACCATCAAGTCCTCCGTATACCAAAGTATGCTAAAGTCAGACGTGAGGCCATCTGTCTGACAGCTAAAGCTAATCTGGTTCATGCAAGAGGGGAATGATCCAAGCACAGCAGTACATCTGCAACAGAACAGCTGAAAAGGAAAATGATCAAGATGCTGCAGTGGCCCAGCTGCAACCACCCAAAATACTTCGTAACAATGAAGCCAAATGTAATGAAGTTAAAAAATATAAATAAGTATTTGCACAAAAGTAAGTCGACTTCATGAAACAGTCTGCACGAGGTGGGTCATGCATTAGCAGCCTGATGAAACTTAAAGAACAGCGTCCCAGGAGGAGGTCTTGAAAGGGGCATCTTTTTAGTTACAGCATTAGGCTTAATTGTTTTTCAATGACAATGTAAATAGTAATATAGAGAGAGTAACCTCAGAACTACAATTTTACTTTTCAAAACTAGCTCTGAAGCTAAGCTCATTTTTAAATTACAAGCCTGGCATCAAACTTCCAAAAACCGAAATCTGCTTCTTTTTTGTTTACTGCAGTTTCCATGAAACGTATAAATACCGACAGGCCTGTTTTTATTTCTCTTTTTATTTCTTTCTTACTTCATTTTAGGTTTCTATTATTTTTCAAATTTGGGTATTGGTTTCATTCAAAATCATCTTTCACGTGCCTTTAAAACAATGAGGGGTATTTTAAAATCAGTAGTTTCTCCTCTGGTCTATTTAATACGGAGCATAATAACTGAGCACTGTAATCTCTAAAATCCAGACCAATCTTTTGCGGAGAAACAAAGCAAAACGAACTAAAGACGAGTTGCGGAGCAGAAAACGAGGTCGCTCAAGGGGTTAAAATGGTAAAAACGCAAAGATGCCCTCTTGGCCTTGTCCACTGAAGCATCAAGTGGCGCCTGGTTAGATGGAGAGGAGAGCCGACAGGGAGGGCTTAGATGGATACACAAGGTCAAAGATAGGCTGCTGCAGCCATTCATGCGCTGTTGGGCACACAATGAAATATGAGAGCGTACAACATGCAGGTGCACAGAGCATCAGGCGTGGAGAGACCTGAGAGCAATCTGTTAGTTGGCGACTGGTGAACAGGATGTGTGTACGGTTCAGTGGGCTCTACGTTTATGAGAGTGAAATCAAGACAGAGTGATGGAGATACTGAGTGGACTGAAAAACAAATAGGGGTTAGAAAGGAAACAGTGTCATTTTAATTCAATGTGACAGCATTGGTTTAAAGCCAAGGGTAGTTTACTTCCTTGTCTAAAGTAATGACACAGATTGGAAGTTACTTCAGTGCCACACCCTAACCTCAAGGAAATTGTTAGAAAGCTGTAAAAGGAAAGGAAATGAAAAACACGGGGCTTCCCTCGCTGCTAACTGTAAGAGCGTTGCAGTGAAAAAGGGCAAACTTTGAATGAAATGATGGACAGAGGCGAGTCCCACTGACGTGAAACTGAAGACTCATTGTCCAGGAGCAGGAATGTGCTGAGCAGACAGGGGGAAAGTACAGGGAAAAGGAAAAGTGGGAACAGAAAGAAGAAATCAGAGTGAAGAACTGTAGAGGGAAGCAAAAAAACAAATCCGTGATAAGGCTTACCTTGGGAAGAGAGCTGGCGGTGGCACAAGACACGTCTGAGCAGGGAGTGGAGAGAAGAGCAGCAATGCAAGAAGCAGCACGACCTTAAACACACACAGTTAGGCGAGATATTTCCTGCCTCAGTCTGTGGCAAGCTAAGCCCAGCCCTCTGACTCAAAAAACCCACAAAATCTACATTTAGTCAAGACTCAGAGGGAAGGCAGAACTGCTGCTTCACAAATCCACCAGCCAGCTGTTGAAAGTGGTTTCAATCCATAATAGTTTGTGTCTTGTGTCAGAAATGTGAAAATTTGGTGTAAAAAAATAAATGAAAAAATAAAAAAATAGTAGTTTTTTTTCTTGTTGTTTAATGAAACCTTCTTCATTTTAACAATATGAGTTCAGTCGGCCTCTGTGTGACTCACAGAAGTTAACAGTTTTCCTGTAATTAGTCAAACTCGGATTCTCCCAGTCGGACGCGCCCATCTGTGTAGCTAATCAGTTCATCACAAGGAATGCCACCCACCCACCCGCTTGCACAGCGTTACATGCACATAGTGGGAAACCTGTGATTCATCCTTTCCACAGGTAAAGGATCTCCCAACAGATAAAATGAGCTCTTATCTGGACAGAGGCGTGAACAGCATGCTGTCTGGATGACTTTTTAATTTGCTGTCTACTTATTGATAAAGTGCAAATGTTTAAAGTTTAGAAAAAATTGATTCAGATAAAGATTGATGGCTGGAATTTCAATTCATAGGATCGATTAAATCAAACGAAATGCATAAAATATTCAGGAGAACTTTAAACCTCACGCAATCAAGCTACGCCGTGCTGTCCACGGTGTTCGCTCACCCATCCAAATGAATTAATTCAGTTGTTCCAATCGCTTCCATGACCACAGGTGTATAAAATCGAGCACCTAGTCGCGAACACTGCTTCTACAAAGAATGGTGAAAGAATTGGTCGTTTTCAGGAGCTCGTGAATTCCAGCATGGTACCGTGACAGGATGCCACCTGTGCAATAAGTCAGTCGTGAAATTTCCTGGCTACTAAATATTCCACAGTCAGCTGGTATTACAACAAAGGGGAAGCGACTGGGAACAACAGCAACTCAGCCAGGAAGTGGTAGGCCACATAAAATCACAGGCTGAGCAGCTGCATCCAAGCCTTACACCACCAGGCGCAATGCAAGGCGTCAATGCAGTGGTGTAAAGCACGCTGTCACTGGACTCAGTGGAGACGTGTTCTCTGCAGTGATGAATCACACTTCTCTGTCTGGTAAGCCAATAGGCAAGTCTGGATTTGGCAGTTGCCAGGGGAACGGTACTTGTTTGACCGCATTGCACTGAATGCAAACTTATTTGGAGGGGGGATTATGGTGTGGGGTTGTTTTTCAAGAGTTTCTGGAAACAGCTTGGGGATGGCCCTTTCCTGTTCCAACAAGACTGCAAACCAGTTCACCAAAGAAAGGTCTATAAAGACACATTTGGTGTGGAGGAATCTGACTGGCCTGCACAAAGTCCTGACCCCAACCCAACAGAACACTAGCGCTGTAACTAACGATTATTTTTATAGTGAACTAATCTGCCTAATTTTTTTTTCTCTTCAATTAGTCAACGATTATTTAATCTCCACTTCCTGTGGGCAGGAAACTTCTGCTCCAGGCTCCAGCTGCCCTACTCAAGTCTTCCCACCTGTGTCACCTTTGTTGCATGAAAATGAAGTAAATCAGAATATTAGGAAATAGAAATTAATGTGCAAATAGGAAACCAAAAATTTCCATGAGTTCAATTATAGCTTCAAATTAAATGAAAAAGATTTTATTTGCCGGTCAAAATGACAAGTTTGCAAAGTTTCCATATAGTTTAGTTCATGAATTGACGATTGCAGTGTCCATGCTCTGGAGTAAGGCCTTCTCTTATCTTAGAGCTGCTGATAACTATGCTAAAGATGCTCTCTGTCACGATTTCAACCATTTGAGAGGTGCACGAGCCTCTTTACAGGACAAACTCATCTATGTGCCTTAATACTGGTAAAACAGAATTAGTTACTAAGCGCAAATTTGGTTGCGTATCATAGTTGATCAGGTGGTGTAACTTTCATTTCCCAATAAACTGTTTGTCCGACCCACAGATTAACGGCCTTAAGTTGGGTGGAAGAGGTTTACTCTTCAGAATAAACGCTAATATTAATGTGAGAAAAAACAAACAAACTCGTATACAGTGTAGCTGCTCCTGTTTATTGGTCGCATTTCACTTATTAGCTAACAAAACTGAAATCGCGTTGGCTTAGCTGGCATCATCCTGAGAGGTTTCCAACTGTCTGTACAGTAACAGAAATATAAAGACACTATGAGCGTGACGCACTAGCTTAACTATCTAAAACCCATTCAGAGGTGACGTCACAGCTCCAGGGTGCCGGGGGTTTGTTATAAAAGGAAAAGGGTCGGCTGACATCATATTAAATGAAATATATTAAGAATAGGACATCACTCAAGAGTATAATATGTGTGCAGACTTTATTCTGTTATAGCCTACTCTATTGTGATTCTTGCGTTTGTCACTACATGTCTGTGGGAAAAAAAAACAACCTGTCCTTAAGATTAAACTTTAGCATCTGACATTTTGCAGGTCTGTTATCTTTGGTTCATCATTGCAAAAGCTACATGTGGAAAATTACAATAACATATAAGCCAATGGACCAAATCATGTAGGAGAAGCAGATCGGCACATCTACCAGAACAGCACAAAGACCTCTGGCTGCTTCAGCAGTTGTATCTTGCTATTACCAGCCTTCAGAGCTGCCGGAGTGAAGTAATGTTCAACAAACCAGGGATGATCTGAGCTTCAAACTGGTTCTTGAAGTGGTTTGTGACTTAAAGGACTTGATTTTAGCTGAGTCAAAGTGGGATTATCAGTGTTTAGCTGAACTAAACTATTTTCTTTTTTGTTTTGATTTTCTTGCAAACCTGTTAAACACCTCCATCCTTATAGCTGTTTTACCTGCTACGCCTCGCTGTGGTTCCTGAGATGAAAGCTTCAGTCAGTCACAGCTGCAAATCAACACCATGTTCACCTTTTCATTTTATACATTTTACCTGTGCAGTTTGCACACTAACAGACGGCTCTAATGTCCACTGAAGGACTTTACACTTCCTACAAACTGACTGGTGAACTCAGTGAGCAGGTGAGCCCACGAGCTGAGAGCGCCCCCAAGAGGACGAGGCGCGAGTAGATTGATTTGATTGATTAGCAGGCTGATTTTTTACGACAGCAGCCACTATGGGAGTGCAGGGTAAACACAGCTGTGACAATTATTATTAATAATTATGCTTCTTCCATTTTGAAGGAGCGGTAAGCTGTTTGTGCCATTTGTACTTTTTGACATGGAATTTTGGTGCACTTCTTATGAGGGGGCGGCACCTGAGTGTTTTCTAACTCACTCTCTTGATTGAAAGTCAGTTACAATGTAACTTCAACGTAAAGTTTTTAAGTTTTAATAAGATTGAACAAAAACAAGGATATGTGTGTTTTGATGTTTTAAATGCAGTAAAATTAAGTTTATTTAACGATGAGGTGT